CCCCAAAACCCCAAAACCCCGTCAATTGAGATTATATAAAAAATATAGATGAATTTTAAAATCTGAAATATAAAATGAGCAAAAGCACCTCAAATTATAAAATTTTTTATCTTGTTTGCTGATTGCTTCATTGCTCATATAATCTGACTTTCATTGGGTAGACTGGTTCGGCAAAAACTCCATTAGGGGGTTTTCTCTATTAGTGTTCTGGCTTAAGAATCTCAAAATCAAAGCTAGAAACAATTAAAGGAGCTATGCACTTGATAACATTTTCAGCGAAAGTTTTTCCCAAACAGATCCTTCTACCTCCGAGGAAGGGTGAAAAGCTTGCAGGTTTTCTTTTTTTGCCCTCTGCATTAAGGAAATGCTTTGAAGAAGGATCAAATCTTTCAGGTATGAATTTAAAAGGCTCAGGCCATTCTTTAGCATTTCTCTACAATACCAAGAAGTGGAAGACAATGGGTATCCCTTTAGGTATTTTCTTTCCCAAGATTTCAACATCTTCAGTTACTATCTATGGGGTACATCTTCTAGCAGGAGGTTCAATTCTTAGATTTTCTTATACAACCATGCAAAGATAGTTCCATTAATTTGACATCTCATCTAGACTCAACTTTTAAAGCCATTCTTCCTTTGATATCTAACTAATTAATTTCTTGCCAAAAATATCTTTAATCTCGTTTCTGACATTAGTTTTGACAGTTTCATTTTTTGTGAGATAAAAGAAAAGATTTGAAAGTGCAGTCGTTGTAGTTTGTGTTGCTGCCAACATAAATGTGCTGCATTCATCTACCATTAAACTATCATTATCTTTAAAGAGATCATCTTGCAACAGCATGTTCAAAAAGTCATGATGAATTTCTTCAGGCTTGAGTGCCTTATTCTTCTATCTTCTTTAGTTTATCATATCAAATATGAATCTTCTCAAAGTTAAATTGTTCTGTTCCAATTCTTTCTCAGCTTTCCCAACGAAATACTGATCAAGGATTTCAAAGTTAATCCTAAATATATTGCTAGATCTCTTGATATTTTAGGAAACAATTCTATTCATCATAACTCCAATGCTGAGTAATTCGGTTTTTCCATTTTATATAAATGGCAAATTTTCCAGCTGTTCATGTACTCCAAAGATACAAATCTAGACTGCCTTTAGAATCATTTTTCCAATGTATTCATTCAAATCCAACTCATCTTACCCCTGCTTTATTTGCTAGATGGTCTCTTAAATAGTATCATAGATAGTGCTCATGATAGAGTTTAACTATTATTGCATTTTATCCTTGTAAAATGCCGAGGACAGATGTTTTCTTTTTTGTGCCCATACCTCATCTGATGGAGTGAATAAGATTGATTCTCCTAAATTCTTTTTATTGATTGTATAAGATCTGGGATATTTGTCAAAGAATTTATTCTTCGTAGTGTAGGACTCAAATATAAAATCTGGGTCTGTGATTACGAGCATTCCTTTTGGAAATCTAAAATCAATCACATAAGGAGGAATCTCATTATTGAATGCATGTTTAAGATATTCATAGTGGGAGTCTTCCCAAAATTCATCTTGCGTCTTAAGTACTTTAAGGAAAGTGAGCATATCACCCAAAAAAGGGAAAGGTAACCCAGTAGGCTTAAATCCTTATTTTTTAAAGTACCAATAGTTGTAGTAAACAAGAAAAACTCTATCGTATATTACGTAAAGAGT